GAATCCTTTAGGAAAAAACCTGATCGGCACATCTCTAGTTCATACAGTACAAAGCTTGACCTCATGGACTCTGTTCTTCTGTGGACAACAGACTGTTGTTTTGACAGTCAAAAAGGAATCAAATATGTTTAAAGATCTGTCCCTCTTTTCTTAAAATGTTATATCAAACCCATGTTGTCATTTTTAAACTTTTGTACACAGTTTACGCATCATCTGCCAATAATATAGTGTGTTTAACACCAGTGAAGAAACTTTTAGTGGCATGCTAGGAGGAAGACCTATCAGATCTAAAAATGTACATAAATCCTTACCTTTCATTCAATATAAAATCAACACAAATCTGCATGTAGATCCACATTCAGATGATGGTTGAATCAACGTTGATATGTCAGTTATGGTTGAAACCCTAACGTTGATTCAACATACAAGTAACCGACCACTTTCAACATTGATTCAATGTTGTTTCAATCACTCTGTGCTATCTGGGAACACAGCACATCCAGGTTTCCAGCGTTATTTCCACCACAGCTTTTCTAACTGCAACTAAGCGGAGACGCACAGATCAGATTGTGGCCAACTTCAGGTTCCCCTAAATCTCTTTGTCTTTGAAAACTTTCTTATATGAAGATATAGGAACAATATTTAAAATATTTCTCCCAGCATGCCAGTAGGTCACTATCTATATTAGATGAGGCGTTGGCTGTCAACCAGGATTTCATCATTTTAAAACAAAGAAAATGATTATGGAGTAAAATGATCCATCTCTGTGTATTCTGTAGAAAATGTAGATCCTAAGATTTCAAACATTTCTAAATTATCACGATTTTAGTTGGTAAAAAATAAAATCAGATGTTTTTGCCAACTTCATTTCGTTGAGTATCTGACATGCCAAATATAAGATCTTCAATATATTCTGATGTTGAATATATCAGATATTCAATTTTATCCGGTAATATATTCAACATCAGATTGAATATATTACTAGATAAGCTTTTCCGTCGCAATCCCCTCTTTTGATAGGAAAATATATAATATTTTTATATGGCATATGGTTAGTTTTTTTCTTTTTTTTTGCCTAATCAGATTAGGGAAAAACTCTGTTTAGGTAAAAAACAGCTGGTTAACTTCTAGTTAACCAGCATGGCTGCTGGTTAACTAGAAGTTTGACTCATTTCTCCTCTGTGGGGTGACAAAGGCTTGATCTATCTTCCATCTATTTAAGTTATTTTAACTTATATTTTATAATGATTGAAAAAAGATGTATAATTTAAGAATTTATTGGATTCCACTTTTGTCTCTCATCTTCTTCCCTTTGAAAAGCACTGTGTCATCATACACAGCTGTCCAGAGGAGCTGTAGCAGAGGAGGAAAGTGTGCTGTGGAAGCCAAAATGGCGTGGAGCAGACGGACCTTTCGTACGACTTGGATGAAGTCCTTGGCGTTCTGGGGGCTGCGGCCCTGCAGCTGCCGTGTGCAGGCCTCCAGGGAAGACGCGTGGGCTACGATCAGCACGTTGTTTCCTACGCAAAGCGGAAACCCAAACACGATGCGTCAGCGCAGCACCGACATATGAGCACCAACAACAACGACAGCGGAGGAGTTTGGGCTACCTGTGTTTTTGCAGTCTGACAGGATGTCTTTGGTGACTTGGTAGCTGCGGCTCATGTAGTTCTCGTAGGACTCGGACACAGTCAGCTTGCTGGCCGGGATCAGAGGCCTGCGCAGAGTCAGGCAGAATGACGTCAGGCAACTTTCAGAAGAGACCAGATCGACCCGTTGGACATTTTGTGTCTGCTTCAACAACCAACAATTTATGGCAACTTTCTAAATGTTCCTCATCATGTGCTGTGAGAAAACAATGGAGGGCTTCAGCTCCAGTAAACAACAGGCAGCAGGGGGTTTGTTTGAACTGGTGTGTGTTACAAGAGTCAGCTGGTGCAAATGGGAATCAGAACCAGAACAAACAAAAAGAGCAGAACACAAAGCTTTAAAATAACAACTAAACTAAATTACATCAGATAATTGAGCAGCGATATTTCCATAGTTCACAGAAATACTACAAAAAAAAAAAAACACAAGCCTCCCAAAGAGTCCCCACCAAAAAACAGAACAAAATGAAACTATTTTGCCAGTTTTCATACATGGGAACAAAATGGTGTGTTTAGCAGAAATAAATGGGAGTGTGTGTCTTTAAAATGAAATGAGGGTTTGAGTTGGTGGAGGGGAACTGGCCATTTCTACCCCTAGTGCTCGACTGTCATGTTTGTTTTGTTGTGTTTACCCAGAATGCCCTGAACTGTAGTCCACTTTCTGTTTCTGGAGACGTTTCCAATCTGCTTGGAGTTCACATATACACTGTACATTAAAACCAGAGTTCACTTCAACAGAACCAATACCTAGGTTTGTAGGTGGACCAAAGTTCACTCTTTTGTTCTGCTTCAGAGTTTGATTCCACATTCACACTTCCCCAAGCCAACCAGAACCCCCCCTGCCCCCCCCAAAAAATCTACTAGAGTTCGATTACAGCCGA